TTTGATCCAAGCAGGATTTACAGAACGTAAATAAGCTTCTGAACGTTGTCAGACGTGTTGCAGCGTAAAACAAGACCTGCTTAATGCTGCAGCTCATTGAACCAACTTTGGTTTTGAATAACAGAAATTTGTCAACATTATTTTTTTTAAACTGTTGCGATGAAAGGAAAAAAAAGCATATTAAATGTTTCAGTATCCTTTAAAATTTCAAGTCGTATAATTTGATCTTTAACATTATTTTTACATAGAACAAAATATTTAGGCAGAGTTAGCACCTGCCTAAATATTTTCTTAATATTTGTTCTTCAAACCTGAGAAAATGCAAACTAAATATCAAAATGAGAGTAAATATATTTTATAGATGTTGTCTCTGAATGTGAAGTATTTGTTGTGGAAACTATGTAGTCATACTAATGCAACAGGCAATGAGATGAATCATTGATCTGCTTTAATTTATTAAGATGTTGCAACAAATTTGTCTTAGAGTTTCCTAAACTCTCTACTTACTCACTTTTTTTTCCCCCCAAGTATGACTTCTATATATTTTCAAAGTAAAATACTCCCTGCTCAGTTTGTTGAACTGGTTAGAAAATAAATCACAATAAAACATTTTTGTAACTTTTTTTTAATGTTATTGGCCAGTGATTAGTTTCCACTTGGTGATTTGGATCCTCATTTAATGCCCATATTCTATAAGCTGCGCAAAAAATAATAATAATAATAAAAACCAAATCAAAAAACTAAATTTACACCTGCTGAATAATTCTTCAGACTTTATTTTACCCAAAATCCAGCAGGGGGCGCTGCAAAATCACATTTGTTTTGATCCACATTTGAGTAAATTTATAATTTAAAAAAATTAAAATAAAAAAATTGGTAACTGCTTACCAAACCTTTTCTGCTTAGTTGTTATGAACTAAACTTGATGTTCATGTTAATACCTTTCAGTGAAGAACATCTCTAACGTGAATAAACTCTGAAAACAACTATAATGTTGCAGCTATGATAAAAATAAAACCAATTAGAGAATTATTGGCAGAGTTGTTTTTGTCTGATCTTAATATCCAAGTGAACTTTCATTTAGTAACTTTCTTGGTTAATTTTTGCCACGCAGAGTGTTTGTTTTACTCTGCGATGCTTTTAAAATGGCCGACGCAGGACAGGAAATTATTGTGTGTTAAAACAGGAGGAAGGAAACAAAACAAAAACATCCATTTCCACTAAAACCTTTTGACCTTTTTTATGCATGATTTCCACCAGTTGGCGAACACAGAAGAGTATGTTGATGGAGCGTTGGCGGGGCATCTTGGTGAAGTGCTGATCAGGTATGGAGATGGTTTTTTTATCGCATTAGCTCTGTGGTTTATTCACATCGATGTGCTCTGAAAAAGACGCGTAAAAATTTACATTTTACTGCCACAATCTGACCCTGAAACACGTCGGAAGAAACAAAATTTAATAAAAATGTATGCAACTGAAACATTTTTTTTTTGTTGTAAGTTGGATCAGAGTGCTGAGGAACTCTTATGTAGCAATCACAGCTTGGATGCTAATATTTGTTAGCCACTTTTAAAAATGGGAAAGATGAGAGAGCATTAAATTCAAGACTGTTTTTGTTGCAGCAGAAAACAGGAATCCTAACCAACATCTGTTAACAATTAAATGTGCTGGAAAAAGTTTTTTAATTTTTTTTTTTCCCCTCCACAGATGCAACAACGTCTTGTACATCCGAGGGGTGGAAGAGGAGGAAGAAGATGGAGAAATGAGAGAGTGATGAAGATGTTTTTGTAGTTGTACCTGGTGGTGGAGTTAACCTGCGTTTGTGTTTTCACCATGTGAAACAAATTTTGATTTTCTTTTTTACTACGATGCCTGTTTGCGTGTTGCGATGCAGAAACAATAAAACGATTATTGTAACATTTCCTAAAGCGGATTTGTGTCCTTTTTGTTTTTCTCTCTCTCTCTGAATCTTAATGTGTTTGAGCTCTGCCCGCCCATCTCTCTGTGCACTTTGACCTCTTCTCTCTTTGGCAAATATTTGCCTGGTTTCCACCCCAAGGTAGTCTGAGCGTTGCTTTTGAAGAGGGAAAATGTCCAGAAATCACAGGCTGCTGGTGAAAAATGCCGAGCAGGTTGTTTTAATCTGCAACAACGGGGAGAAGTTCCTGACCAGGCATGGGATGAACAACCTGAGTGTGATCGAAAACGCCAGCATTGTCGTCGGCAGGTGAAATTTAACAAAGAATTTAAAAATTATTTTTAATTTTAAAAAAGTGATGATAAAAGCTGCTGTTTGAGGTAAAAAGTGGTTTATTTGTCCAACATGAGACCCGTTTGCATTGATGCTTTTTTCTGTTTGTCCAGTGGCGCCCTCTGCTGGATATTGTTGATTACACCAAAAGTCACTGGAATATTTATTTTTTAAAGCTAAGTTTGTCACCAACTACAACCAAGAGCCAACTTATGTACATTTCCTAATTACAGTTTTTAAGTTAGGCTTTGAGTTTTGTGCAAAAGTTTTAAACCAATCCTAATCTCTTCATATTATCAGCAATTAACAGATCAAAGTGTCTGAAGGCGTTTTCAGTCTGATTCATGTCTTCATTTAGTGGAAGAAAAGTGTAAATAAATGAGGGTTGACCCAAGAATTTTACACATGACTTCTTCCACCTCATCTGCAGTCTTTCAAATGGTTAGTTTTTAATTTATGTGAACTATTTCTCCTGGCAGTGATGGTCTGATTAAAGCTGTGGGTCCTGCAGAAACCATCAGTGCTCGGTACTCCGAGTCCTCCTTCGATAATGTGATCGATGCTGCAGGGATGTGTGTTCTTCCTGGTGAGTATCGGCTGCAGTTTGCTGCATCCGTCTAATTCATGCAACTTTCAGACCTTAAACATGGAAAATGTTTAAACTCTGCAACTGTTAAAAGTGCTTTATTAAGTTTATGCATCTATTAAGGGTAACTAAAATGCACCTTCATGACAAAGTCAAACACTTTTTAGTAAAAACTTATATTTATGTCTTAAATCTATTTGAAGAGGCCATAAATTAAACATCTTTAGACATGGGACTAATGTAAAAATGCCTCCAAATCAAGTAAAGAAGGCTCAATTTAAATTACAAAGCTTAAAAGTGGGAATTTAATTGGAAACTTTTAAGTATTGCATTTAAAACACATCTACCAATTAAGAGAGGACAATAACGGTTAACGATTAGCATTAACCCATTAGTATTTTTATTTTATTCTCAGTCCTTAAAATGTTTTTTTTTTCCACATTAAGAGGAAATAACATCTGACATAAAATCTTTTTCCTCACTATCTTGTACAGAGAACATAAACATTGTGAAATTTAACTCGAAAATCAGTTTATTTTGTAAAACACAGATATCTAGAAAACAAAAATGGAAAAAATATATCTGGAAACTCAAACTGATTTCATTTATTATAATAAAGAGCACTGAAGTTGTTTTCCCTTGTTCTTTTGTTTCAGGGCTTGTTGATGCTCACACTCATCCAGTCTGGGCTGGAGACAGAGTTCATGAATTTGCAATGAAGGTACAAACATCCTGACTGAGTCTGTTCACTCCCACAGCTTCATTCAGAATGTCCTGGAAAATCTAGAACTGGATTATTATTATTTCCCAGATCTGGATAAACATGAATAAGGAAATGCAGTGAAATATTTATTATTTTAGTCCCTCTGTTCGCCAATCCTTTCATTTAGTCGCCAGCTTTATGCAGGGTGTCCACGCATCCTCAAAAAGTCTTAAATTCATAAAATAAGACTTTAAAATAATTAATTTAAAAACATTTTAATTATCACTCATATTTTGTGTGACAGGACTATTTAATCTTGTGGGCAGAAATCTTTAATGTCCTGTGACTAGAGGCTAGTGCTAACTAGCTGCTAATGTAGCCTTCCTGGATAGCGGTTTTTTTTTTTTTTGGCCTCTATCGTAGCACCTTAGTGAAGCCCCCACCTGCTTTATCAAACATTTGTGCTGTTTGTGCAGCAGATTTCTTTGCATGTGCTGCTATTATTTTAAAGATATTAATAAATGTTTCCAGAGGTCGTCAGAGGTCAATAGGCCCCACCCCAATCAACCGTTTGTCAAGCAACTGTGCTATAAAAATTTTAGCTTCACAAACAAAGCAGAATTAATTTATATCAATTTTGTTTGGTTTTGTTAATCTGTGGCGGAGGTGGATTTCTGGTGACCTCTGGAAACTTTTGTTTGGCTGAACAAATGTAGCACGGTTCATTGACACCGTGTTTCGTTTGATTTTGTATGTGGACCGGTTGGTTGGCCTTTGATGAGGAAACATTTACTAATATCTTTAAAATAATGGCGGCATAAACGATTTTTTTTTTCTGTTGCACAAACGTTTGACGCCAATATTTAATTTGAAGGGGAGGCTTAGGAATCTTTCCATTATGATTCCAAACGGTTGAGGCTACTGCTAACTAGCTGCCAATATATCGTTGCCAGCCAGTTAGCTTTCTTTTGCGTCCATCATGGATAAGTGTAAATTTATCGCCAGTTGGCCACTTCTGTTGCCAACCCATGTGATGATACATGTATTAAATTTTAAAAAATGGCTTAAATGTCAAAATTGAGACGAAATCTTTTTAAAACATTTCTTATTACGTGTTTTATATCTCGTCTGAGTTGGAAGGTTTCTTGTTTTAAGATGCCCTTCCGAAGCTGAAGTTGGTTTCCAATTCCAGTTTCCAATAGCTAAAGGGCGATTCCACTTAATTTTTCACTACTTTCCGCATCTTTAATCAACTCTAGTTTAAAAACTACTACACCTATAGACTTGAAACCTGGACTATATTATTCTGCTCTAATAGCAGAATATTTAAAACCATGTTTGGGATTTGTGAAACTTCACTAAAGATCAGATTACTATTTATATATGTTCCACAAATTCAATTCTAATTCAAAACCACTTTATTAATCCCAATGGGAAATAAAATGTTGGTGTAACTCATTCATTTTTCAGAGTTATTGTATGGTGATGGCTGTTGGAAGGACAGATCTTTTGCAGGGGTCTGTTAAGTGAAATTTCACAAATCAGAAAAAGGTTTCACAAATCACAAACATGATTCTAAATATTCTTTTATTAGAGCAGAATAATTTAGTCAAAGTTTGAAGAGTCTTGTTTCTTGTAGATTTGGAATTACAGCAGTTCTCCTGTGACCGAGATAAAAATAAAGTGGTGATATCGCACTTTTTGGAAGTTTCACAAATCCAAAACATGGTTTTACATATTCTGCTATTACTTGAAAATAATCTGATCCAGGTTTGAAATGTCTAGGTGTTGCAGATTTTTAATTAGATCAGTTCTAATGTGATCCAGATGCAAAAAAGTGGTAAAATCAACCTTTGTTGAAGTTTCACAAATCGGATAAAAGTTTCACAAATCCCAAACATGGTTTTAAATATTCTGCTATTAGAGCAGAATAATTTAGTTCAAGTTTGAAGAGTCTAGGTGTTGTAGTTTTTAAACTAGAGTTGATTAAAGATGCGGAAAGTAGTGAAAAATTAAGTGAAATCGCCCTTTAGCTATTGGAAACTGGAATTGGAAACCAACTTCAGCTTCGTAAATTGAGCTGGTGAAACTTGTAGAAACTCCTTAAAGATGGCGAACACCTCCGTCCTGCAGCTAGCCGGAGCCACCTACATGGAGGTGCACCGCGCCGGAGGAGGAATCCACTACACGGTGGAGCACACTCGAGCCGCCGCCGCCTCCGACCTGCTGACCTCCCTGAGGAGCCGGCTGCAGCGGATGCAGCGAGCCGGAACCACCCTGGTGGAGTGCAAGAGCGGATACGGCCTGGAGCTCCAGACGGAGCTGAAGATGCTGGAGGTGATCGAGGAGGCGAGCAGATCGCTTCCCATGAGCATCTCCTCCACCTACTGTGGAGCCCACGCTGTGCCCAAGTAAGAATCCTTCACACGGTAAAATACTGACGCCACTTCTGAAGTATTTAATGTTCTTCTATACAACGTGGTCACAATAGCGCCATCATATTCTGTGACGATCTATATTTCCATAATGTTAGTTTTTATTCTTTGTTGCTGCTTGAAAAGTTCACGTTTTGTGCGTAGCATAGTGCAGCTCCCCCTACGGTCATAAGATATGGTGGTCACAGAATACGTTGTAACACCGGTGTTCTGTCGGTGTAGAATACCGGAGGTTTGTTTTGATAGTCTGGTGCTTTGGTGTCAAGTTGTCCTTTGTTTTTTTAAATTACAATTTTGTTTACAAACACTTCATAATTAATTTTATTGATTGTTTCTGCTGTTTTATTTATTTACGTTGGATATTTTAAATGTCTTCCAGTGTTAAATGTTCATTGATATTTGAGAATGAAATTGAAAATCTTCTCAAAACAACAATATTATCGTTTATTGCCATAACTTCTGGGACCTAATGATAAATTGTCCCAGTAATTATTGTGATAGATAATATTATTATTTAGAAACAATTTCCAGGTAATATATTAACAGCATAATAATCCAAGTTTGCCCTCAACAAAAACAAACAAAAAAAACTTAACACTCAAACTGGAAGACATTTTAAATACCCAACATAAAGCAATAAATGCAAGAGAAATAAAAACACTTAGAACTGCAACCTTGAATAAAATGTTTTTTATTTATTGTCTGAAAACAAATTTGACCATATTAATCATTAGAAGGGAAATTAAGGCCATCTTCATTGCTTATTGTGACAAGTTTAGCTTTTTTCATATAGTACACAGCTTAAAATTTAGCAATAATCATTTAAAAGTTAAATATTCTGCAACATATTTAATCAGTTTGGGGGAAGAATAATAAGTCGATCAAACACCAGATTAAACAATTTTATGACTCCACTTGCTAAAACACTATAGAAAACTACAGTGTACATTTATTTGTAACTATGCAGTTAATATGAAATTTATGCACCAAATATTGCAGAAAAAGTTTGGCGTTATGCTGAAATGATGGGTTAAATGTAATAACGCAGGCGTCGTTTCTGTCCCTCAGAGGGAAGACGGTGGCAGAAGCCACAGAGGACGTCCTCCAGGGTCAGCTTCCTCGGCTGAAGGAGCTGATGTCGGCCGGGAGCCTGAAGGTCCAGAACATCGACGTTTTCTGCGAGCAGGGAGTTTTTGATCTGGACTCGACGCGCGCCGTCCTGCTGGCTGGGAAAGAGATGGGGCTGAACATCAACTTCCATGGAGACGAGCTGCATCCCATGAACGCTGCAAAGGTTTACCCCAGATTAATTACTTGACCATTTGTAGCAAAGGATCTGCAGCGTTGGGCCGATTTGTTTTTGAATTAATCGATAAATAATTGGATGGCGAAAGATGCTTGAGATTTTTCTTTTTACAAATTTTTAACCAGGTGAAGCTAAAACTGACACTCGAGGTCATATTTACTGAGTTTTGTTTTTCTTAATTGCAAAATGTATTTATATATATTTTTTGTTTCAAGTTTCCATTTCTAAATAAGGCTGCAGCTAACATTTATTTTAATAATAGATTATTCTGAATAAAAATTTACACATGCTGCAGATTTTTTGTGTAATCACTTAAGCTTTTTTTTATGTAATATTAGAAATGCATAAAAAATGTAAATCGGCAAATAAAATAAATATTTTATTGCTTAAAATGCAGGGACAGATCATAACTTACTCTACAATACCACCTGAGGAGTTTGAGTGGAACAACGTGTATCTTCTGCCCTGAATATGTTGTTCATTCATCAAAAATTATTTTTTTTAATGGATTATTCATTAACACAAGCTGCTGTGTCTCAGATGGGAGCGGACCTCGGAGCGTTGGCCATCAGCCATCTTGAGGAGGTCACGGACGAAGGGATCGTCGCCATGGCGAAATCGAAAACCGCCGCCGTCCTCCTCCCGACCACGGCTTACATCCTGCGGTACTGAGACAGCGACCTGGCGCTCTCTGCTCCTGGGATTTGTAGTTCATGGATGTTTTTGTGCCCTCAGGCTGCCTCAGCCTCGGGCCAGAGACATGCTGGAGGCAGGCGTGATCGTCGCCCTCGGCAGCGACTTCAACCCCAACGCTTACTGCTGCTCCATGGTCAGTACTCGCTGCTAGCTTCCTGCCCGTCTCAACCCGTTCTCCTCATGTAAATGTTTTGTCATTCCCAGCCGCTAGTGATGCATCTGGCCTGCGTCAACATGAGGATGTCCATGACGGAGGCTTTGGCTGCCGCTACCATCAACGCCGCGTACGCACTCGGCCGCTCCGACACGCACGGATCCCTGGAGGTGAACAAACGTGGAGACCTGCTGATCCTGAACGCAACACGGTAAATAAACTCTGAGAAGTTTATCCAGGATGCCCGTGCATCTTAAAGCCTTAAAATGCAACTAAAGATACAAATTGGCCTTAAATACGTAAATATCAGATCTTAACTGTTGTCCTGGCAGGAATATTTAGTTTCATGTTCTATGTAGTCTTTTTTCTCACATGCCAACATCATTGGCTTTCATGAGGCGGTTGCGTATGAAAGGCCAAAGTGGACATAAATCGACATTTTCACTACATGTCTTAACAAAAAATGCTGGTTTTTGACATTGAAATTGTAAAATGTCATGCTGAGATGTTTAGTCTATGCAGAAACTTCCACACTGTCAACAGTTATCTTAATTATTGCTGATGTTTGGCTGTGTAATTGCTCTGTAAAACAATTAATAAAATTTAAGACCTGTGTTTAACATGTTTAAGGCCAATTTACATGTTTTCTAAAGAACTTAAGACTGTTTAAGATCTTAATATATGGTGCTAACATTCTCAACTTAAATCAGTATCAAGATGGCTGAAAATTGGGTAGAATTTGATGCTTTGAACAGCAAAACTGGCCGACATTGAGTTTAATGTCAGCCGTATTGTAAATTTAGTGGGTCAATGATGGGAATCCTACCAATTTTAATAAACTCCACTTGTTAAATGAATGGAGCTACAACTTGGTGATATTTAAAATTTGCTCCACAATCAGAAATTAATTTAAAGTTGAGAAATTCAAATATTATTTTTAAGACTTTCTCTGCTGTTTGAAGGTGGGAGCACCTGATTTACCAGCTGGGCGGACACCAGGAGCTCATCCGCTACGTCGTCATCAGAGGAAACATAGTGTACGATAACGACAAAACCCTTGACCTCTGACCCCGAAGGAACTCCCAGCAGAAGTATGTCTAAAAATAAAACCACACTTCCTTCCAGCTTTCAGAAAAAACAGCTGGTTTTATCTTTGCCACCAAATTGAGTGTATATATCTGAATGAACAGTAGTCAGTGGTGTGTGTTTAAATCTCAATCAGCAGCAGAAATGACCAAACAAAATGGTTGGATTTATAAAAAAATGCAACACTTGGAATTTGTAGCCTAAGAATATCCTTGCTTACTTTGTGCATTTTAGGTAATATTTCTACTTTTTAACAACTTCTTCAGTTTTTATTCAGATAAAAACACAGATTCTTGTTTTATTGCTTTATATAAGCATATTTGTACATTTGGCAACAAAGTTAAATCCTACCATTGTGTTTTGAAACTTCTGCAGCCTGTTGCTGAGTTTTGATTGGCTGATGTGGTTCATTTGAGATTTAAAGGCACACTCAAGAACACCTCTCTGCAGCAAACAGAAAGGGACGGAGACGGACCACTGTCAGTCTCGTACCTTATTTGGAAATGAGACGCTATTTCTTATACTTCCATTTTTATTTTCTTTTGAAATCTGAGATATATTTTCACCTTTAGGAAAGAGTTTAACTCAGAATGTATTTGAACTTATTTACTTTAGCGCAGCTCACAGTTTTTAGCAAATTCTGTAGCTTTTGGTGTACTGCTACTGCCTCTAGTGGCGTGGGGGTGGTAATGCAACTAATCTAATTACATTACTAAATAAGAATACCACAAAGTCTTTATTTACTATTAATTATGGCATTATAAAACATTTTTTCATTTTCTTAAGGATGTAGCGCCAGTTAAGACACATTACTTTTATACACACACGTATCTTCTTAAAAGGTAGTCTCTGATATACATACATTTATAATGTATAAAAGTATATATTACTTTTATAAATGTGTGTATAAAAGCGATGTTTCTTTTAACTGGTGCTACATCCTTACGAAAATGAAAAAATGTTTTATAATGCCATAATTAATAGTAAAGAAAGACTTTGTGGTATTGATTTAGTAATGTAATTAGATTGGTTGCGTTACCATGCCCACGCCACTAGAGGCAGTAGCAGTACACCAAAAGCTACAGAATTTGCTAAAAACTGTGAGCTGCCATGAAGTAAATAAGAGAAGTTCAAATACATTCTGAGTTAAACTCTTTCCTAAAGGTGAAAATATGTCAGATTTCAAAAGAAAATAAAAATGGAAGTATAAGAAATAGCGGTCCGTCTCCGCCCCTTTCTGCAGAGAGGTCCTTCTTGGCACACTGACTGCAGTTTGGTCACAGATATATAGACTCAGATGATTAAATGTCAGCAGAAACCAAAAGAAAAACCTCAGACTGGTGATCAATATCAGCCTTTATTGAACATTTTAGTTGATAATCACTTTCCACAGGCAGGGATATAAACCTGATTTTCAGTAGAGGCTTATTTAAAAACAAGGAATAAAAAACTATTTTAGATGTTGTTAAAACAGAATATGTGAGTGCATAGATTAAGTAAAAGTAATAACAGTGGCAAACATGTGAACTGCCTTTCTACTTAACATGAACAGTGTTTCCCAACCCTGGTCCTCAAGGCACACTGACCTGCATGTTTTAGATCAGGGGTGCCCAAGTCCAGTCCTGGAGAGCTACCATCCTGCAACACACCTGAATGGCTTGTTATCAGGCCTCTGTAGAGCTGATCCAGGTCTGTTGGAGTAAGGATACTTCTAAAACCTGCAGGATGGTAGCTCTCCAGGACTGGACTTGGGGGGCCCCCCCTGTTTTAGATGTTGCCCTGCCTCAGCACATATGATTGCAATTGCTGGCTGATTAACAAGGTTTTGCAGTCATCTGAATGGTGTATGTTGAAGCAGGGGAACATCTAAAACATGCCAGGGTTGGGAAACACTGTTCTAGACTATGACAGTTTAAGTACCAGAGGTGATCTGGATCCCGTTAAGCTTCGTATTTCTTTCCGGCTCGGTGGATCTGTTGGTAAAGCGTCATGGAGAATGCCATGCCCAGCAGCTGGAAGAAAGAGATGATCAATTAGTTCTGGTTATATTGGGTTCTAGTAAATTGATCATTATCAAACATAATTTAATGTACTCACCTGTATGACCAACACACACATGGCAATGGTTCCCAGCAGGTGTTTGTTGGCATCCACCCACTGCTCAGCCTTATCATAGCAACCCTGAAAACAGAAAACCTTCAAGTTAATCAATGACACTAATTCTTTTTCTGTTTTTCTTCCAGGTGAATTGGGACTGGACTCTTAAAAACCTGAACTGAGATGCTAATAATAGCCTCTATGTTAACCCTCATGTTGACCAACAGTAACAAACTGCAGTGTGAAAAAATAAAATGTTAGTTAATCTTACTTCCATCCAGAAGGCGTTTGATGCGTTGCGGCCACAGTTCAGGTGACGCTGCTGGCAGCAGCTGTCTGGAACGACGTTCTCCTGCATGATGCTGGACCAGTCGTCCGCCTTAGTCACGCCGCAGCACTCCCACTGCAGAGGAGGAAACCAGTTCAGAATAAAGAAACCACTGACATAAAACCAAACCTCCTTACTGGTGTGGTCTACCTCTCTCTGTATGGTGTTCCACGCATCCCTGAGGCCAGCATTGTTCTCTGTGTTGTACAGCACCAGCCCCTCTTTAAGGTCCTGTCTGGCATTTTCCCTCACCTGGGAAGACATAGGGAGTGAGGATTATGGGTAATCAACACAAAGAGCACAAAGGGTAGGAGTCGAGTTTTACCTCTTCTATGTAGACAAAAAAGAGGATGAGGAGGATCAGTTCAGCCAAAAGGATGATCAACAGAACGATGAAGAACTGTTTGAAAGAGGGAAAAGTGTTTCACAAGATTGTATTTACTTACTGAAGATTAACAGCTGAAAGTTATACAAGAAATGAAACATACTAATCTATGATGTCAAATATGAGATAGAATGACACATGCTAAACTATGATGTCACAAAACGACCAAAATGACACATACTAATAATGTATGATGTCAAAAATGAAATAAAATAACATTTTAATTTCAAAAACGACCATCATAGCTCGTTTTTTGACCTATGATGTCAAAAAAACGACAAAAATGACACATGCTAAACTATGATGTCAAAAAACGACCAAAATGACACATGCTAAACTATGATGTCAAATAATGACCAAAATGAAACATACTAATCTATGATGTAAAAATGAGATAAAATGACACATACTAACCTATGATGTCAAAAAATGACACATACTAAACTATGATGTAAAAATGAGATAAAATGACACATACTAAACTATGATGTCAAAAAACGACCAAAATGACACATACTAAACTATGATGTCACAAAACGACCAAAATCACACATACTAAACTATGATGTCAAATATGAGATAAAATGACACATACTAAACTATGTCAAAAAAACGACCAAAATGACACAAACTAAACTATGATGTCAAAAAATGACACATACTAAACTATGATGTCAAAAAACGACACATACTAAACTATGATGTCAAAAAACGACACATACTAAACTATGATGTCAAAAAACGACACATACTAACCTATGATGTCA